GCTGTGTCTTGCTTAGTAGCAAGTTTCCTCTGATACTTTATTCAGTAGTAGTACAGGCTCTTAACTAGTTGTAGTTAAGAGCCAGTTCCAAAAAAAACCAGGTTTAATAAAAACAGAAAAAATTGTGTTATTGCAAATGTGTCTTTGGTCACATCCAAGCTATTATTGTGAAAGCAAGGAAATTAATTTCACTGTAGCATTGGGGAGGGAACAAAAGTAACACAATCCCTGTAGATAGTGAGTGCATGTGAGAATATGTCATGGATGTTTAGTTAGTGGAACAGACCAACCTGCAGGGCTCAAGACAGAAATATCCAGGTGAAATTTAATGGGCTGCAATATTTACCCTAGAACATGTAATGGCTTTATGTTATAAGAGGCTACAAATCTCTGAAAAGTGACCTCATGTCTTTTGATTGCACTCCTCCACCCCATCCTTCAGCCTTGACCCATTTTATCTGCATAGCGTTTTTTCACAAATCCTTAGCTACAAGTCTTCATTTGCAGACATTCATCTCCCCTGGGTTTATGTACATAGTGCTGTAGACAATTTTTTTCCTGGAAAGTGTGGGAGTCTTAGGCAAGTAGGTAGAGTGGATAATTCAAGGTTAATGACTAATCCAGACCATAGAAAGATCAAATGATGAACTGAACCTCTAAAAGATATTTCAAGTTTGCTCCAGGGGCCTGCCAAATGAGTGTTGCCAAAGCAGGTTAGAAGAAGAACTCCCAGTTCCTCAGCAGAGATACTGAGAGGTCAGAGGTTGAGGAAGACTCAGAAGACAAAGATTTAAAACAGCCCTCTCAGATTGCATGTACTGCCCATCCCAGCTTTTTGAAGCTGTAGAAAAACACACCCTTCTGGGCATTTTTTAGCTAGACAGACAGCCACTGATGGAGTTAAAAAAATCTGTGCTTAAAAGCTCATCACTTTCTTCCTAAATCTAACCACCAGCAGAGATCATCTAGCTCTTGAATATTCTGTAGAGGTAAGATTACAAAAAATAATACCATGGATAAAGCCAACCCTATGGTTGTGAGAAAGTTGAGTGTGTTTGTCACATAAATCGGTGCTTGTTGGAAAATGAGAGGCTCTCCAGGGACTGCAGCTAGTGCACTCACATGGTCCAACAGAGGATAGATTATAACCTACGAGGGAAAGACCAAACTGAAAAGAACTGTGGTGTCAAGCAATCCCTAAGATCAGTTTACAGGCTTAAAACATAACTGGAAGCCAAAAGCTCTATATGATATACACAAGGCTTACTGTACAACAGTTAATTGGCTTAGTTAATAATACAGAGCTAGCTTAGTGTTTTGAGTTAGAATACTGGAATTATTTTTTACACTGTCACAAGAAAAATACTGTTTAAAAAAAAAAAGAAAAGTAAGTCTCCTTCTCAAACACATCCAGGTATCTTCAAAAGGTGTAATGACAGTGTAGAGAGGAAAATCTGTCTGTAGTGTAATTTAATAGTAACCATCATGTGATACTATTTGCACATCACATTTTTCTTCCCTGTTGTGTGTATTAGCTGCAGATAGCAATTATGTTAATACCTTGCTGCACATTTCTTTGCGAAATAGGAAACTGGCAGGAATTTTCATATTTAATCACTTTGTCCATAAATCCCTTGTCTTTCCACTTTGGTTGTGAGTGATGTTGTTGAAATATAGTTGCAGTGATCGTGTCTCTTACAGGCACCAAAATACTATTTTCAGCTGCCTATGAAGGGAGCTTCAGGAGAACTGTGGGGGAAGATCGGGGCACTGCCAGTACCGCACGTAGGACTTGAATTTACTTGTTTGCCAGATCATTTTTACAAGCCATTGAGCAAAGCAGAGATTTCACTGAGAGGATGAAGTTTTGTGGTCAAAGTGATCATCCCCTTGATGCCTTTGAAAATAGCTTACTTCACTGATATTATTATTATTCAAACATTTAATCTGTCTCTTGTCTCTTGGATATGAAACTAAAACTACTGCTTTAAAATAACCTTTAATTTCTAAGTATTTTTATTCCATGTTAGTAGCAGTTGTCAAAAGTAGGTCAGAGTGAGCTGTGAGGTTTCAGAGATCCCTTACAGTACAGCTCCACCGTATTTGTAACCATTGGGCTCAGATCAGGGATGGATGTAGTGGGTCAGTAGCTGAAGCTGGCCATACAGATGCCACTCTGACAAAAAAGCTGGAGATTGCACTTTCACCACAGGCACAGCTTTGTATTGATTCCCTGAATTTTGGCTCATGCCCTGTGCAATCATTCTTTTCATGATGATGATAATATTTGTTTTTTCTCTGCCCACTTTCCAGTTAGTCTCTGTCATATCTGTGCTACAGCAGCACTAACTAGAGACCACTGAACAGGGTAGGAAGAAGGTGATTTCTCCCCTCCACAAGAGCAATAACAAAAAAAATTTGAAAAGGAATTTTCCTCCTGAAAGGAAAGTCATAACCTTACTCCTTAAGGCATCTTGGAAATAGTTGGCATGCTGCACACTGCCCATCCTAAATGCAAGCTCACAGACAGCCTCTGCCAAGAATGTATTTTTATCTTTCTCCTTTGCTTTCAGTCCCTTTCCCTTTTTCTTTTGCCAGTAGCTGTAGATCACAGTGAGAGTACAGTGCTGAAGTGAATATTAGTTCAGTGGAGCCTGTACAGAAACTGTTCCTGGCCCTGTGACTCACATTCAGCTCATAAAGCAAAGTCACTCTTTCCCCTCCATGCCCTTGTTGAGCAGTTCCTTCATCCAGATAGATAGCTGCCTCCACATTTGCTCTGATAAGGCAGAACCCAGCTGATATCAAGGGAGCCTGGCTATTCATTTTCATGGACACTGATTTCTGCGCTTCAAGGCTATTTCTGTCAGTCTTTCAGTCCTAGTATTTGATTACCCAGCTGGTATTTTCCCATTCCGTAAGCAAAATACCAAGCACTCAGCCACAGAGATGCGTCAAAACACTGGTTGGTGTCTTGCCAGCTGTTTTAGCCAACGGAAATTCGCAGATGTGTCAACTGCTTTAATGCACAGAAACATTTGAGCAGGGCCCTATTCCACAAAAGACAGGTGGCCAGCCTGCCCAGTCCCATCCTGCTCAAACCAAATGGCTTCTGCCTTCACTGTCAACGCAGTCATCAGCGCTGTCACACCAGGTCATCAGTCATAGCATTTAGCAAGTGAATTCATGACAATTGCACCAAGCGAAGATGTTTCTACAAATTGTGCAGAACTGATTTTTCCCTGTTCAGGAAGCTGGGAAACAGTTTTTTGATTCGTTCAGGAGAAGTTATGTGGCAACTTCAAAAGAAACATGGTTAATAAGTTGGCACTGGTGCTCTACCTGGACTACGGGAGCCTTCAGCAAAATGAATATTTCTGACCAGACTTGTTTTTGAGAAGTCTTATTTGAGCCACTTATCATAATAAATAACCCAAGCTTGGGTGACAAGTGAAAGATTCATGGTATAAGGATACTAATCTAAATGACAGTCCTAAATAACAGGCTAGAAGGTAAATTACCTGGTGAGAAAGGCATGATAGCCTTCCGGTGCACAGCGCCTACACAGTTATTGTTCCAGTCTTTCACTTCATCCAGGAATGCCTGTAATTACAGAGAACGTGTTCCTCATTGACAGATTGCAGGAAGCGTAAAGATCGATGCTGCTTGTCTTTAGGAAAAAAATCGTTCCTCCCTACATACCTCCTAATTCAGATTCTTCTTAGACGTTTTATTCACTGTCTTGTAGCCCAGCTCTAAACCACAGTGATGCTTCCAGCACTTGCTGGAGTCAATGGGAGCCTTTCAGTTGGCCTTACGCTGAGCTGGAAGACAGCAGGGTGAGGTTGCCTCATTTCCCTTGCATGGCCACAGCCAGCAACTGCTCACAGCAGCCGTGTGTTCCTTACTTTGGAGGAACCCGAACACCTCACAACATTGTTCTGGGTGTTTGCCAAAGAGCCTTTGAAAACATAACAAAGCAAACAACAAAAAAAAAGGCCATGTATTTGTGCACAGCTCACTTTGATCAAAGGGGAAGGAAATGGCAACTGAAATGTGCTTACAAGGTAAATGAATCCCAAAGGCTCAGAGAAATGATGGGTATAGGGAAATACCCCCTGCTGCCATCCAGATTGAGTTATGGCACATCCTTGTGAACTACGGCAGCTTTGAAACAATATTGTAGGATCCTTTCTATAGGGAAAACCTTGTCTTTTTTAAGTACTTCTTGAGCCTTGGCAGTTAAATGCAATTCAGATTGTCTAAGAATGAATGTGGCCAGTTATTCTCCATTTTTGAGGCCCCTAATGCCATGAACTGCAAACAGATGATATTCCAATTAAACATCCCGGAAAGCCCAACTGTGAAAAGTGAAATCTCACCAGTGGCTGTGAGAAGATGAACTAAAAGTGTGGCAGGAGATGTTTTTGCATTTCAGTAGTCTGGTATTAGAGAATTTTTATGCTTTGAGGTCATATAATGTCAGGCTAGAGAAGCTGACTCTGGTCCTGGATGTGGGAAATCCATGTAGGGCTAGGTGTCTGGCTGTAGTACCATCCCAGTTTGTACATAGTAAGTATAGGTTCTCTGCACAGCTCCACTGCACAGTGAAGATGTGCATGCAGACATAGCAGTGGTTTTCCCAGGTACCTCTCAAAGACAACAATATTTGTGGGATAGGATGATCTGCAGACAAGTCTGTCTTTATTTGGGGGGAAAATGTAGCCACATTGTAGAGACTGGGTGTTAAAGGGAAATAATGCAGAGTTTGTGTTTCTGTCTAGCATGGAGACGAGAGTGGATATTCACTTGTATACACTTTTCTGCTTTACACGCTTCAGCTCCCAAAGGTGATCAGGTGATCTCAGTGTAACGGTAATACGGCACCATTGAAAAACCCACAAATTTAGGAAGAATTTCCCATTTCTCACTGTTTTTAAGTGAAGCATAGTGTTTTATCCCACCAGTTTTCTAACATTCCTTGTCTGGCTCCTTCCCAGGTGGGTAACTGGCCATTGGAGTCCCTGCTCTGCTACTTGTGAGAAAGGTGTCCAGCACAGGGAAGTGACTTGTGTTTATCAGTTGCAAAATGGCACCTACGTTAACACAAGAGACCTCTACTGCCTTGGCAACAAACCAACAACAGTACAAAGCTGTGAAGGACGGGACTGCCTTTCTATCTGGGAAGCATCAGAGTGGTCAAAGGTAGGAACTTGGTTCAAGAAAGGAGCCATACTGCACACAGCTGGCCCTAATCCAGCTAAATACTTAAAATTAAGCACATTCTCATGGTCAGCATACTCAGTGCCTCACAATATTGGGTCACTGGGTAGGACTGTCATTTGTTGAGATGATCAGTTTGGAACTGAGGTTTGTATTCCATACTGGATGAGTCATTAAGGTGGATTTTAAATACCATGCTATAATAACTATATCTTTCCATGTGAAAACTCTGACCAGCAAGGAAAAACATTTGACTGACCTGAGGCCAGAAGCGTAGTAACCCACCAGGGGTTCTGGCTCCATTTAAATGCAGTATGAAACAAATACCAGATTTATCAAGCATCTGCATGTTGCAGAGAATGTACAATCTTTGGGCCTTGGCCAACCTTCTTTTGTGTAATTCCAGGAACATGGAAAAGCTGGTTATACTTTGTATAAAAGGTGCATCTCCACATAGTTGCAGAGAGTTAAGAAATTATTCTCAGATATTATAAATGCACTTCAGATATAAATGGTGTGTGGTGTAGACAGCCTGCGTTTTGTTTAGCAACAGAGTAAACTGGGAGTATGCCTGCAGTTCACAACCAGGACTCAGCTAATACAGAGCAACTTTGTCTGCACCTTGTGAGCAACAGTCCTAATAGGATGTCCATGGTAGTTTTGATATTGTATCTGCTAGGCTCATGTGAATGATGAGAAGATCCTTTCACTCTTGGTGCAGTGCTTACAGCTCTACCAGTCTTATTCCAGACTGGTTGTGTTATGGGACACAGTAACAGTCATCGCTGTGAGAGGGATCTTTCCTTGTTATTCATCTCTATTTTGAAACAGTGAACTGCTGTTTAAAATATTTTCAAAGAGCTTTTGCAAAATATTATTGTTAGAAATGTGCTTAAATGTCACAGATACTCAGGATACAAGGGATCTTGCAGTGAGGAACAGTGTCTCTTAACAAACACAATGTGATTCCATTGTTCACCTTTTGAACAGGAAACCTTTGTTTAGCAAATGAGATGACAGTTAAGTGAGAGTAGTGTTTCCTTTCAGTAGGACGCTGTATCCACTCACTAATGCATGAGATTCATTTTCTTTCTGAGTTCTTTCGTTGCAAATGATGTGGAGAAACGCACCAAAGTTTTAATAATTTGTCTGATAGGTCTTTTGTGTGTTATAGAAATAACCCTTTCAGGTGATGCCCTCTCTATTTCTTATAGCTGAACCAGCTGAACTGTTTACAGCTGAAACTATTCTTATGGCGCAGTTCCCACCTGCTTTACATGAGGTCTTTTGTTAACAATCCCAGATACTTCTCTCTCCTTTTATGAAGCAGAGTAAGTCAAGTTACGTAAGACTTTTTCCAGAGTAGAAATCTTCCATATTTGTGACCATATAAATAATTTACAAATGCATAATATTTTTAGATAATTTTTCCAATAACTGGTTTACTTTGATAAATTTATTTACCTTTTCTCGTGTCTGTAATTACCCACTTGGGATTTTAAATTCATTCTTGTTCTGGCACATTTCTCTGTGCTATTATGTAGCAGAGTTGACTCCAGGACTCATTTGATGCTCTGCCAGTTCGAACACTTCTCATACCTAGGACTTTCTTCAGTGGTAATCACTTTAATCCTTAACATTTTAATCTGATGTTGTGGAGTAAATATCACAGTAGTGGTATCATTTTAGAAATTCATTTTCTCATGTATGTTTTTGAACTTTTTGGTTATACAACAAAAAACAGTTGACCACACTGATGTCTGGTCCCCAATCAAAAATGTGTGTTTTCAAAGCAAATTCCAATACAGTCTTCATTGTGGAAAAAATTAAGTTCCCCTTTTATTGCCAAGCACTTGAGATTGTTTTGGCCAAAGTACTGCTCAACCCATTTTTAATGACAAAAATAGAGACTGTCAGAAAAAGGTGAATGTTTCTAACTGTTAGGAAACTAGAGTGGAAAAAAATATGGATTTCCTTCAAATAAAGGAGCTGTATCTTAACTGTGAAGTTTTGTTGCTCCTTTACAAAACCTTGTGGGATTTGACCAAGTAATTTATTAATAAAATAAGACCTGATGATCTCAGCTGGACACTCAGGGACTGTACACATTATTAGTAGACTGTTCTGTTGTGGAATCTCTGTAAAATATATATGTTAAGAAATTCTTTATGAAGACAGAGGACTTGAAGAAAGAAAAAAACTCATAAAGAGAGTGATTTATATGTGACCACCAAAGATCTGTTGGAAACCATTTGCAAATACTGTTTTGTCTAGGAAAGTATATGCAGTATTAATCTGTGAATGACTTAAAAGCTTGTGGGAAGAACAAACAGTTGGTGTTTTTCCCAGACTTGCTTGTAAAACCCACCTAGAGGTTTCTCCTACTGTGAAAAATACTCCCACTTCAGTTTGATTTACTTTGAGTAAATTGGACCATTTGAGAGATTTTATACATTGTGCTTTGTAGTTTGAGATGAACGAGTGCAACCCTGAGGACTGAGGAAAATGATATATAATTTGGGAAAGTCTATACAACTTGGGGCAAATTCATGGCTTTAAGGTACCATTTAGGGAGCTCCAGCCTGGGATCTCTGGCAAGTCTTGCACTCTGAGGAGTCCAGCAAAGCAGTTTCTGGAATTCTGCAAAGACTGGAAGAATTCATCCCCATATCTAGCAGAACTATACAATTGTGCTTGTTACAAAGATGTTACATCCGTAAGGAGGTCACGCCATGAGCAGCGCATAGTAAATTAAGTGGAAGGTTTCCCAGATTTTCAAGAAGTCACTTTGTAGTGCTCTGAAGTATTTAAAGGCAAGTCTGTTTGCTTGCCAGCTCATAAACGCTTGTCATTCATGTCCTTAACAAGGCCAGCAGGTCAGAACTGCCTGGATTGTATTTTTAAGACGGTTAGACAGGCATGCTGAGATTTGTCCATTTGATGTAATTTATATCAAGCTGACGCTTGTTTCCAGCATAGACCCCCTGGATGGAGAAGGTTCTTGGAATATGTTCAAAAGACCTCACAGAATATCTCATATCTTCACTATTTATTCAGTGTCAAATCAACTGTCTTTTCCATGCTGGTCCCCTGAAGGGGAGAACTCGACATGCTAAAGGAGGTTAGTTTTTATCTCAGTTGGTACATATATCATTTTCCACCCACCTGTCCCCAGTGGCTCTTCAAGAAAATTTCTCACTCTTAACCACTGCAGTGGCATGAAAATGAAGAGCAGAGAGACTAGCTTGCTGGCCATGTTTGGAAGCTGATCACAGCGCTGTGGCTCACTCAGTAATGGCACTCCTGAGCTATCCCCTTTGTACATTTGAAGCTCTTTGGAACTAATATAGTGATGAGGTTATGGCAAAACAAAGAGGGAAGGTCATGTGTGTATTTATTTCACATGAGAACACGTGTGAGAACTGTGACTTTACCATGGTGTGTACAAGCTGTATTGCAGAAGTGTGATTGTAAGAGTGGTCTCATGCCACTGTGATTTAAAAATGCATTCATCACCATCATGTTACTCTCACGATACATCAGGGGATGTAGCAGTTCTGTGGTGTAAATCTCAGTGTGCCCTTTTTCAGTATGAATGATAAAAACTAGATTTAGTGGTTTTTTTAATCTGTAACACTAATTCAAGCAAAATGCCAGCTGATATTTTTCAAAGAAGGTTTATTTTCGGAATTGCCATTTTTCATAATTAAAATGTTTTGCAAGCAGATATCATGGTTTTCAAATTCCTCTTTTATGTTTGAAAGGGTCTTAGATTATCAGGGGGAAATCTTATGGGTTATCCATTGTCTTCTGCATTCATAAAACCAGCTTTTCATTTTAGCTGTGTTACCAAGATAAAAGTTATAATTTCTAGGCATCATGTAACAGAAAACAAATACCTGTTGTTTTGCAGTGCTCAGCAGACTGTGGCAAGGGAATTCAGAAAAGAACGGTGACATGCACAAATTCTCAAGGAAAATGTGATGCAGCCACCAGGCCAAGAGATGAGGAAGAGTGTGAGGATCACACAGGCTGTTATGAATGGAAAACAGGCGATTGGTCTAAGGTAACAGTGAACACTACATGGTATTTTCTTTCAAACTGCAAAGATGTTCAGCGTGCCGTGCTTCATGTGCTCTCTGTGTTAATTTGCAGTTTAAATATTTGGAAAGGAAGGGTTTAACTGGTTTTTGATTGGAGTTTTCACTGGGATTTAAATTTTCCCTTTATGCCATTTATAACCCAAACATTGCAACACAATCTTATGGATATGACCCAGCAAGTTTTAGAGAAGTGTATTCCAAACAGGATAGAAATGAGTATTAATTGACAGCTTAAGCACCCAAAGACAAGACCTACACAAGATTCCCACTACAGGTGGACTCTTGATGTCAAAAAGCTACTTTATAAACAATGCTGAAACTGCTTTCCATATTTCAAAAAGCAAATTCTGAACAGTTCTGGCTAGCAGATTGAATTCTACACAGAACATTTCATTAGCAGTATCTTCCAGGAGTGCAGGGAACTAAGGAGGTGTTCCATGCCCAGCCTGGATAAGCTAAAAAGAAAACAGCAGAAGGCTGGCTTCCTTGAGTGTATATACATGCTAAAAATTTGCACTTCTAGTTAGGAACCTAGTCACTGAGAAAAAGGGAAATCTCACAAGGGGGCTGTGGTGAGAGGTTTGTCTCACTCAAAGCATCAATACAAGTGATGAATCTGAAGGCTTGGGAGAACTGTTATTAAACTGAATACTACTGGTGGAAGCCCGGGGAAGCCCTAGCAGACTCGCGCAGAAACAGAGGGTAACTAATTGAAAGCACTCACAGCTGAGTTCTGTTCCTCACTCACAGCTGAGTTCTGTTCCTCTGCCTCACACAGGTCCTGCATGGCAGAGTCTGACAGTACACTGTTCTATTACCACAGATGCAAGGCTAGAGCTATGCAGCTGAATTTCATGCTATTCTGAGACCTGCAGAGCATAGTCTAGTCCTAGACTTACTCCAACCACCTGAAATGAAAGTCATTAATATAAAGGCAGAGCCAAAACCATCAGTCCCTTCCTCAGGACTGGATTTTACCTTCACTTAGGCCTGTCTGAACTTAGTTTCTCCAGTGACATCAGTGGAATTAATTCCCGAATGCAGTGGATTAACCCAGAGAAGAGTCTGCCCTGTATTTGCATTCTGATCTTAAAGCAACAGGTAATTTTGCTTGGGAAGGAGACCTGGCAGTGTGAGAAACTCAGCCTTTGCTGGTGTCATTCATAAAGCATCCTTTACATTACTGACTTCATGTTTGCATAAAGAACTAAAATTTCCCAGGAATATTGTATTCCAGTTTGGTTTTATCTTATCTTTGTAACTGTACTGTTCTTTAAACAAAAAGTCTACTTTGTGTTCTGGAATGTACGGCATGTGCAGAAACCACTGGGATACAGTAGTTGCATTTTGCTTTCCAAAAACCCAAACTCCAGCGAGGAAAATCCAGTGAAATAGAGGCCCATGATGGGCAAGTTGGCATATCTGCAATTGCATTTTTTTTACATTGTTATTAGGAATTACAGATATTTATAGATATACTCTGTCACAGAGACGTGAATTTAATGGTGTCAGTGCTGGAGAATGCATTAAGAACCTGCCACATACAAAAGGTCTGTATGTATGCTGCGCCAGGAATTTGTATTGCAGAATGTTTAGAGTATTGAACATTATTTTATTCATAACCTGGCACACAGAGTCCATGCAAGCTGGCCAAAACAAACAGTTCTCCTGTGTTAACAGGTGAAATAACATTATTTATTTATTTGTGGAATTTTAAAACATTTTGGCATGCAGATTGACCCGGATTCTCTTTATAGGGAGGAATATGAAATAACTGTGTATTCACTGATTACATGGATTGAAAGTTCAGTATTGTATGAAAGGTTCCAATCCGATAAAGATGCTGGCTCACTGCTAGAAAGGCTGCAATCATACATTGGTCACAGTAAATAGAGGTGTTGATGGTTGTGTTGTCTGCATCTGAGCGGGACAGGATCAGTGCAAAATCACCTGTTATTTGCAGTTCTTAACTCAGGATCAGGATCCTCCCTGTGCAGAAGGGCACAAAAGCTTATGTATCTGCTGCATATGTGGCCTGCTTCTGTCTGCAGAGAGCTTGTGCCAACTCTCTGCTTCCCAGGAATTTCACCCTGTGTGAGTCCAGCAGGATGTTCTTGGACTTAGATTTGGTTTATAATGAGCATTTCAAATTCTAGACATATTGGTTAATTCTGACTGGACACTTAGATCACACAATTAGATTCTTATTCTCTGACTAGAGGGGTAAACAAAAGGCACCACTGGATTGCTAGGAAAGGGTATGGGTAGATACAATTCTTTGAAGAAAATGTATTGTCCCAGAAACCCAGATAGCTTAAATGTTTGGTGTGGAATTCAGTTCTTCACAAATCCTGAGGAAAGGATTTTCATCATGAGGATCCAGAAGCTTTAATGCAGGGCTCAAACTTAGGGGAAGAGCCTTTAGAGCTATCAGCAGCTCCTCTTTGGTCTTGTCCAGCTTTAAAGAGTTCCTGCTTTAAGGAGAAACACAAAGTCTGCGGCAGTTAGATTATAGTGAACTCTTTAAAATTCATACTCCCAGGGTAAAATTCCATTGTAAAACATTTGTTGCCAGTGCTGTAAAAATCACTGTGAGAGAGCTTTGTGCTGACTAAGATGGAAACTTTTTCCTATTAATACAAATTGATCTCAGAACAAGCAACAACTTTTTGCAATTAATGCATCGTGCATTTGTTACTTATTGTTAAGAATCATCAAGGAAGCAAGATTTAACTAACAGTAGTAATTACCACAGATTAAAATAAGGGGCTTTGATGCTTTATCTGCAAACAGCTTGCATGGTGACTTGGCCTCCAATCCTTCAGTTCCTAAACCAAGATCATTTGAAGATACCAGGAAATCATGTAATAAAGAGGCAAAACCTCATTTAAAAAGTTAAGTCCAGAAACAACTTGTAAATAGAAAAGGCTATTTGGGTGGTAATGGCGGACTGTTATTTTTATATTATTAGTAGTAGTATTTATAGAACACATGGACTCTGTGCATGAGAAGACACACCACTTCCCTAAGGAGCTCCCAGCCCTATATAAGTAACTCACCTCGCATCTGACAGCGATGGACATGGTTATCCTATGTAAAATCTTAGATCCTGTTGCATTCAGAAGGTGCAAGAGTGGGCAGCAGTAAAAGCTCCAAATCTATGCCAGACAAGCTGTGGTTTTATGTTCTCAGACCCTGGATCCACTTCTGTGTAGAAGAGGTGAGGGCTGGTGGCATGGCCATGCTGATCTTTAACCTGCGCCTACCAGCCAAAACCTGGCCTTGGTAACGGCTCTGCAGCAATGCCTGTCCATGCTCTGAAGAAGAGGAATTTTATTCCATTTTCTGTTACGTTTATTTGCAGGTGGTCCTTACTGCATATTATAGCTGTGGAAAGCACTTGGAGCTAATGGAGCAGAGTTAGCAAGCAGTCTTGGCTGTGATGTTTGTGTATTCCCAATGTATCGGCAGCGTATTTCAAGTGTTGCATGAGGAACTGATATATCTAGTTCTCTGTGCAAACACATAGGGCCAGGTCTGTAATGTTATTTTAAACGTCTTTGAAGCTACCTTTTTTAGCCCAGTGCTTGAGATTAACAGACCGTCTACCGTAATTCTAAACACAGAGTATTGTTCTGTTACTGGTAGCCATGTGTAACCTCTGTTACCACTGCTGTTAAACTTGCAACTTCTCTGCACTACTTTAATGTCTCTTTTAAACCCCTTATCTCAAAGGGATATGATTATTATTTTTAGTGTTTAACAGAAATGCAGAAATGATATTACAAGTTATATAACTAAACTGTTCCTGGCCCGAGAGTCTTCAAACCTAGTAGAAAGATAGATTGCACAGAGAGACACCCACAGAAGGTGTTAACCTGAAATATTTTTTTTTATTGTTGCCTGGATTCTTCAGCATTGCAATTCATTATATCATCCTTTTTTATATATGATGGAATATACAAACGGGAATCCAAGCCATCTCCCATTCAATCGTTTCTTCCAAAAGGAAGTTCCACATCCAGTTTGCATTCAGTTAAAGAAACAAACATCTCATACACTCTTTCTACTTTGAAATAGTTCCTCCTTGTTTGAAATCTGAGCTGTTAGAAGTTCTAGCACTGGAAACATTTCTACATTTTTGCTGTAGTTGTGCTAGTCGAAAGAACAAACGCAAGTTGCTCAGTTTCTCGACACTTGCCTCAGACTCCTAGGCTGCTCAAAATAGGCTTCTTTAGCAAGACAGTAGTTCATTCTTTTGTGATGAATCATGTTTTGCTGACAAACGTTATGTCAAGAATTACATTCTTGTGAAGAACACAAGCTAGTGAACAGAATGTGTCTTCATGTATGTGGCTGCCCGAGTCTGTGCCATGCGCCTGCTCTAGGCTGCGCGCAAAAGCGTCAGCCGCGGGACTCCGGCTGTGCGTTGAAGCCTGCCGTGACTCAGGCAGTTGAAAACGTGTGTCCCAAACGCTGTAGGGGTGCACTGCTGGCCTGCTGCAGGGCCATGGAGGCTTGGTGTATTGGCTGGCTATGGTGATGATGAAGATCAGTTGTGCTTGAAGGTGAACAGCACGGGGTACTGCTTCTTAGCTACCCGAGGCTATCCCTGTGTCCCAGCTCTCTCCCCTTCTGCTCTAGTAATAATGTAGCAGGGAAAGCACTCAGGTGCAAACGTACAGGCCAAGGCTGTATTTTTTGAGTTCCTTCTCTCCAGTTGGCTTTTGGACTCTTTTAGGGTATAACTGAAGAGGCAAGAGTATACACCAGGAGTAATTGTCCACAAGATTTTTATGGAGTTTTTTTTAATTTCCAGTTTTACTTAATTGTTTCACTATTTTATATGCCTCGACATACTCTATTTCTGTCCTGTGACTGAAGTATTGTATTTCGAGCCAATAGCACAGAATGGTTCAGGGTTCCCAGTTTCATTTTTTTCACTATTCCCCTTTTAACTGGT